TCCAGGCTGACTCCAGAGGGAGGGAGGAGCTGGGACGGCTGGGGAGGGGCAGCCACGTGCCAGCTGGCTGTGCCAAGTGTAGGAGCAGCACGCCTGGGGTTCTGCCATGTGTTTGTTTATTTGGTTTGGCTGCTGTAAAACATACACACACAGACTCACAGCCTCGGGGCCTGTGTACAGAGCCCACGTTCAGTTCTTAACTAAAATCAGGAACAGTGTGGGGGAAAAGGAAGCTCAAATAGGAAGATAACAGATAGCAGAGTTCATTCACTCACTCATTCATTCATTCATTCATTCAGCAAAAGGATGCCAGGTACTATGCAAGGCACTGGGGCAATGATAGAATTCAGTTCCCGAGAAACTCAGACAGTGAAGGGGAACAGAAACCAGGAAAGAGGCCATTTCAGCCCAAAGTGACAGGCACTTGATTCAGATTACAGCCCGCGTCTGGTCTGGTCATTTCCTGGATTAAGATCTGACCCGTGCTCCCTTGTGTCTAACCAGACTTTCACAGGCCCAGCAATCCCCCCCTCCGGCCCCTCACCCCTGGTTCAAGCTCATGGAAGTCGAAGCAGCTTCCCTCCCTCGGGTCTCCCCTCTGCAAGCTCATTCCCCCTGTTTGCAAGGTTCTTCTTGTTCTCTGCCACTTCTTACTTAGACTTAAAGGTCCAGTTGAATCCTCTGGGGCGGCCATCACAGACCATGCTCTGGGTCCTCACCGCATTTCTTTATGGCTGACTCTTCTCAACTCCTACTGCCATGGTTCACCTGTCCATTTCCCCCATGGCCTGTGAGCCACTCAAGCAGAGAAGAATCTTGTCCACATCTCTATTCTGGCAGTTAATCGATGCCTGGCACAGAAACACTCTTAATAAATGCCTGACCGAATGAATGGACATAATTTAATGCCACTGTGGATTGCCTCAAATGTGCCACAATTAAAATGCACTTGGATGCTGGAGTCAAACCCCAACTCCATCACCTCTGACTAGCCATGTCCCTTCTCCCAGCCTCAGTTCGCTATTCTTAAACTGAAGCCAATACTGTTCCATGAGTGTGACTTACGTGAGAAAGCTTTCTTTCATGTGTGGTCACCTTTATTTCTCTAACATTTGTGGAGATTTTATTTATTACATTTATTATAATCAGTCATCTGAGGGATGGATGCCTGGGTAGCTCAGTCGGTTAAGCGTCTGACTTTGGCTCAGGTCATAATCTTGTGGTTGGTGGATTCCAGCCCCATGTCAGGCATTGTGCTGACAGCTCAGTGCCTAGATCCTGCTTCGGATTCTGTGTCTCCCTCTCACTGTCTTTCCCCTACTCATGCTCTGCCTCTGTCTCTCTCTCTCTCTCTCTCTCTCTCTCTCTCTCTCTCTGTCTAAAATAAACAAAAATAAAAAATAAGAAAATAATAATCGTTAGAAGACAGAGCTCTAATCAGTGAGGGCTTTTAAGATGGGCACTGTGGGACGCCCCTGAGAGGCATGTCTCAAGAATTTTCTCCTGAGTTCAAATTCTTGAGATGTGCCCCTCAGGGGTGTCCTAGAGTGCCCATCTCTAGGGAACACCTCTGTTCGTCCATGCATTTTCTACGGGCGAGGCTGTCCTGACCGCTCCCACTCTGGACATCTCCTCTGACCACTGCTCTTGGCAGGCAACAGTGCACAGTAGTTAAGAACATGGACTCTGGAACCAGACAGCATGGGTTCAAATCCGTCTTCCCCTTGACTGGCTCCTTCTTTCTCTCCTGATCGGAGCACTCTCCCATTTCTGGACTTGGATGGAATGCCACACCACAGGCATGGAACCTGGTTTTCTCAAAGTACTGTTTTCAGACCAGGGCGTCAGAGAATCCAACCCTGAGCCACACTTTAGAGGGTTCTACTGTGGCCCACCCAGGCCAGTCCCCTTAAAGAGAAGGATTTGAGGAACTAAGGGGATGTGTCAGCCTAGAGTCCTCACCCTCTTCTGGTAGACTATGGTATGGGCATCTGGGACTCCATAATTCTAGCTTAAATGCCCCTGAGTCTGCTTTAAGGCCTACAGTGGCCTATACTCCCTGGGGGAACCCCACCTTCAGTGTGAACACCTCTAGGTCTGAAGGGTGGCCAAGAGGTGGCTGTTTGTAGAGGTTGTAAGCAGAGAGGAGTTCCCACACATAATGTAGGAGTGGGGAGAATTGGGGGAGGTCATAGTCTAGGGGGTCAGAGGTGAGCTCTACTATACCTAAGCAGGAGTGACATAGACTTCTGAGAATTCTAAATTCTAATGTGGCCTCTCAGGTCTTTACAAAGGTGTATGTGACAAGATAGAAACACTTTACTCATCCAGTTTGTTTTCTTCATGTCGAATATCAGATATTTAAGTGTATGGTATATGAGCTTCTCTATTAGTCAACTTGTGCTGCCTTGGCAAAATACCATGACTGGGTGGCTTAAGCAACAGAAATTTATTTTCTTGGGACACCTGGGCGGCTCAGTCGGTTGAGCATCTGACTTGGGCTCTGGTCATGTTCTCATGGTTTGTGAGTTCAAGTCCCATATCAGACTCACTGCTGTCAGCGTAGAGCCCGCTTCAGATCATCTGTCCTCTCTGTGCCCTTCCCCTGCTTGTACTCTCTCAAAAATAAATAAATATTTTTAAAAAAAGAAGTTTATTTTCTCACAGTTCTGGAGACTTAAACCCAAGAGTAAGATGTTGGCAGGACTGGTTTCTTCTGAGCAAGCCTGTCTGCTTGGCTTACAGGTGGCTGCCTTTTCACATGTGTGTGCACGTGTCCCTAGTGTCTTTTTGTGTCCAAATTTTCCCTTCTTCTAAGGACACCAGTCAGATTAGATTAGGACCCACCCTGAGGGCCTCATTTTAAGTTGACCATCTCTTTAAAGGACTATCTCCAAGTATAATCACTTTCTGAGATACTGGTAGTTAGGGTTTCAACATATGAATTTTGGAGGGACATCATTTAGCCCACATCAGCCATTCTAGAGTGCTACCTGTTTGTAGAGTGACCAATCTATCCAGGTTTGCTGGGACTTTCCTTGTTTTGACACTGATATTCCCACATCCCAGGATATCCCTCAGGACCAGGCAAACTGGGAAGACTCGGGATACTTTCTTGTCCAGAACGCTTACCTGAGTCTTTGGCAAAATATAAGGACTAGAAAGACCAGACAAACCCAACAGGTATCCAGAAGTGAACTTTGACATCCATTTACTTCCTCAATCCTCACTTCAGCCTTGTGAGGTAGGTGGGACAGGAAATAATATTACAGTTACACAGAGGGGGAAATAGGATCAGAAAGGTTCATTTTTTCCCTTGGTCCTATTTATCTTTCTCCTGGTTCTTTCATTACTGAGTACTTCCTAGGCCAAAAGCCAGGCAATCACAGTGTATGTTTCATGTCACCTGTGCCCAAGGGTCTGAGCGAGAGTTAAGTACCAGGATGTATCAGTGAGTGAGTACTGACGTATACCTACACTCATTTGAATTAAAGAAATTAAACAATCACACTTGCACTATGTGGGGAGAGGGGGGCCACACTCTGGGCCTTGTAGAGCAAATTCCTCCGACTGGAAAGAAGGGTGGGTGGGAGGGAAGCAGGGTTCCCTCATCAAACAGGCTGTGTTTGATGATCTGCTCTGAAAGGCAAGGAGGAAGCCATTGATTAGTGAGCTTTGTTTGATGTGCTCAAGGATCAAAGGGACAAACACCATGTGCAAAGATGAAAGTTGACCCGGAAACCCTGCGTCCCAGCCACTGGGATGCCAGGCTGCTCTGGGCCCATGGGTCACAAAGGACTCTTGAAGAAATCATGGGCAAGATTGCAAGCCCACCTGTTCCTCAACTTGAACCCTGACCCTCTTCCCACCACTGTCTTTCAGAAGGGCTTCCTCTTGCCCCTTGGGCCCTCTCTGGAGTAACAGAAGCCCAGGGCTATAAGGGGGCCCAAGGTTACCGCTGCAGGGATGGAGGTTTACTTGTGAGCAAGTAAGTAATAGTGTGCAATGGACGCTATGGTGAGGCTGAACTTGGGGAAATGAGGGTCTACCGCCAAGAAATCATTAAACCTATCTGAGGGGGGGTAGGGGATGAGGCACAGAAGATGACCCAGCTGAGGTCTCAAGGAATAAAGTGGTATTTGGGATAGGTTTTGTTTTTCTTGTGGGAGGTGGAGAGGAGAAGCAATGTAAAAAGCCAAGGAGGTGATAGACCCCAGAGTACACTGGGGACCAGCCAGTATTAACTGAACAACTAACCTGTGCCAGGACCTAGATCATCTCAGGAATCCTAAAGGCATCCGAGCAGGTAGGCCCTAGGATTATTCCATTTCATAAGGGTGGAAAATGAGGCTCACAAAGGTTGAGTAACACGCCTAAGGACAGTTGGCATCTAGCAGAGTCAAGATTTGAACCCAGGCCTGCCTACTTGAAAACGTGGCTTCTTTCCAGTAGAGGCACGGTCATATCCATGTTTAAGTGTCCCTCTGGTCCTCATGTAGAGGGAAGAGCGGGAAGTAGGGACAGACAGATCAGATAGGATATTACTGAGTAGTGTTAGGCAGCCAGTAAAATCTCCCAGGCCACAATACGAGATGTGCAAAAAACCGAACTTTATTTTCTATGAACTTGAACCCAAATCCACTCTTGGCAGAAGCTTAATCTTAGTTCAGATATTTTTCCCTCTCTTTCTGCTGTACAAGGCTGTATTAAGTTCTGTGTGGAGAAGAGTTTCTATAGCCTGAAGCTGTGGGGTGAGGACAGGATGGGGATGGGGGGACAGTGGCGGTGGCTCTCATCTGTTCATGCTGGAATCTGCTGGGACACCCAGGCTCTTACCCGGCACAAGCCTCATTCACACAGGTCATTGTGCAGACTTTGCATCTAGACAGCAGGTGCTTTTGGTCCATAGCATTCAGACTATTCTGGAGGTTCATTGGGTCTGGAATAGGCCTTATGTCTAATTTCCTAAGCAGTTTTACCAACCATTCTGTTCCCATCAGGTGCGTCACCGAACTCTGGATGCTGCCATCTTGTCAGGCTAGAGATGGGAAGTGAGGCACAGGCCCTGCTTGCTCTCAGATCCAGCACTGAAGGGGAGAGCAATCACCTCCTCCACACCCTGGGCTCAGCTGGGCAGGTAGGACACGGGGACCCCTCTCAGAGACCAACACAGACATCCACTTGGTTCATTTGCTCTCTGACTCTCTGCCTGTTCTCCCAACTCAGTTAAACCTTATCCTTGCAAAAAGCATTCTAATTTCTTGTTTAGGCTTGGGTTTGGCTGCTATCCCAATAATTAACTTACTGACTTCTCTGTGCGTTTCTACTATAACTCCCTTACTTTGAGGCAATGGATGTTCAGGCTTGATGTTCTAGTTTTGTTTTGTTTGTAATTTTTTAAATGTTTACTTACTTTTGAGAGAGTGCATGCATGTGCACAGGAGCGGGGAAAGGGCAAAGAGAGAGGAGAACAGAGGATCCCAAGCAGGCTCTGTGCTGACAGCAGAGAGCCTGATGTGGGGGTCAAACTCACAAACCTAACGGTAAGATCATGACCTGAGCTGAAGTCGGATGCCCAACTGACTGAGCCACCCAGGTGCCCCATTGGCGTTCTAGTTTTAATGAGGGGAAGACTGAGGGATGTGTAGGAATGCAAATGGGATCAAAAAATGCTGAGGTTAAAATTTCCGATTATTATTCTGTTAATACATACAAGATATTTGAGGTTCTGAATTATGACAGTGACATTGGGGAAAGCAGTGAGGGGTTGGCTTAGAGAGAATTTCAAGAGTCAGAAGCCAGATGTTTTGGTGACTGTTAGATGTGGAGGATGAGGGAGAGGGACGACTTCTGTGTCTCATTCAGTTGTTAATTCATCCCTCATGAGTCTTCTCAGAATGTTTGGAATCAGTCACCAGGAGCCAGGCCAGGCTCTGCTGGGCTACAGCATCCACAGCCAAATCAAGGGTACTGGGTTACTGAGGTCTTGCCCCATATTTGGTTTCCTTTTGTTATTTACTTAGCCTCCTCACTTTTTTGGAGATGAATAGACACTAAAGCCTGCTGCAAACCAAAGTGGCTCAGCCTAGGGTTCATTGCAAGCCCAGGATCCAGAGAACCCCAGTAATAGGGGTGGGGCACAAATTGACTCCCACCTAAGCCATTGCATGTTCAATTCTATAGTCAGGAATGGGCCTGATGAAGGCCCAGAAGAAGAAATGATGGCTCTAAGCATGGCGAGAAAGCTTTTATGGAAAAGATCCATTGTTAAAGGGGTGAGGTGGTAGAGATACTGACTTTGCTCAGAGGAATCTAGGTCCCCACATCTAGATCTCCATTGGAGTCCCAGAAGAACAAGTTCTAGGAGTAGGGGGAGGGGGGCGGGGGAGTGGCTTGCCATGGAGGCCAAGGGGGCAAATATGAGGGCACATCACAGATTATAAATACATAAATAATATGTTAAGTGGTGATAAGTGTGATGAAGAAATGTCAGTAAGAGAAGGGTGCAAAATATGGCAGGTGTGGGACAGTAACATTTAAAATGAAAGTTAGAAAAGGCACAGATAGCATTTTGGAGAGAATCAAATGAAGAGAAGGAAAAAGTCCCAGGAGTCCTTATTGAAGAGGGATCATCAAGTGCAAAGATCCTGTGGCAGCCCCAGGTTTGATGTGCTCAAGGTGCAGCAGGAAAGGCAGTGGGACTGGAAAGGAATGGACAAAAGAGGAGGAGGCAAAAGGTGAACTTGTAGAGCGGGAGGTCCAGGCCGTGGAAATCCTGAATGCACGGTAAGGACTTTGTATTTTTTATCTTTATTATTTTTTAGTAAGATGGGAAGCCGCTGGAGATTTTTGAATAAAGAAACTATATGATTAAACTACATTTTGACAGATTACCCTCATTACTGTGTGGAGGTCAGAAGTATGGTGACCAGTCTGGAAACGGCTCCAAATTGCAAATGGGAAAGGAGAAAGAGAAGGTGGCTTTTACCAGAGTGGTAGCCATGGAGGCAATGAGAGATGAAAAGTTTTGGGCTACGTTTTTAATCAATTTGCTGATATCTGGGTATGTGAGGGAAAGAGGAATACACAGGAACATCAGAGTACTGAAGAAAGATGCTGCTATAGATCAAGTTCACTGGAAGATTCTGTGTCTCTGAGATTAGGGCACATGACGACATTTACTGGGGAGGGCTTTCAGGAGAAATGCCTGTGAGTGAGGGAAGGATGTTGGAGAGGGGAAGATGTTGCACCGTGATGCAGTTGCAACAGAGGCCTCAGCGGATCCCATGGAAAGTTCTGGAACTGAGATAACCCTTTATTGTCTCATTTGGGGCAAAGGAGCTAGACATGTATACCCTATGCCAATCCATTAAGAGCAGGGAGTCCCTTCCAAGATGTAATTGGATGCAGGCTGTCCCCAGGGAGGTGGCTTCCTTCTGCTGAAGGCAATTCCTGGAGACAGATTCTGCTGTGAGCCATCAGCAGCCAATATTCCAGGCAGCTGGGGAGGGGTGCCTGAGGGGAGACATGGGGAGGAACTGCACTGTCCCTATAGGTGCCCACTCCTGGTCTGGTGTGGGGAGGCTCAGGGGTATTTCTGGGAGGAGCTGATACATGGGCTGGTGCTAAAGGACCCCATGCTACTTTTCTTAGTCATGTGATTGTGACCATGAAAGAGAGGGTATTTGAACAAATCCCAGGCTTGGGCACCAAAACTGTTCTATTTACTCATTTATGAAATCTTTAACTAAATTCAAATCTGGTATCAGTTGCCTTTTAAACTAAAGTGTTTTTAGCTTCCAAAATTATAATAAATCTCTCTGATTCACATCTAGGCATATATATATGTATATAATTTATTAATTCAGAACACATATCTATTTGTTGAGGCAAAATTGATATTTCAACTGGTTCAAATTTCTGGCAACCAAGTATTCCTCATTGAACAGAAGTCTAACGTGCTGATATTTTTAATAGCTCTTAGGGGCAGGGAGGGCTTTCCAACAGCTGACATAAATCCTGTTTGCTACAATTTTGGACATTTCCTCTAGATTTTTCTACAGAGGAGTTGGAGAATGGCTGGCATCAGGATCTGTGTAATAAGCTATTTCTGCACTTAAAGCCTACTTATGAGGATGATTCTCACCTTTCTGGGAGTAAGACATCAGATTCAGGCCCTGGAAGCTGGCAGAATATATTATAAAGAGCGTGTGCTCCTGTATGAGTGAGCGTGCATATATGTGTGCTTATGTGCTTGCATTGTTAGGTATGTGTATGGCTCTGTGTGTGTGTGTGTGTGTGTGTGCGCACATGTGAGTGTGTTTGCAGGCAAGTATGATGAGTGGAAGGGAGCATGTTGTATGAGTATTTTTGCTTGTTTAGGTGTGTGTGTGAATCTGCATGTGGGGAGGTGTGTTTATAACACACGCATGTCCAGGTGGGTGATTCAGGTGTGTGTATATATTTAGGTGTGTGTATGTGTGTTTGCATGTAGGTATATATGAATGAGAGTGGACACGTGTGGGCATGTCAACAGTTCTCTAGGCTGCATGAGGTAATCCGATTCACGGTTCCACGGCAGGAATAGAAATGCCAAGGTCAGATTTCTTGCCTGCAGCAACTTTCCTCTAGTGATCCTGCTCCAAACATTTTCCTTAGGGGCCTCTCCAGTTCTTCCCTCTCTTCCCACCAGGGGTCGATGCCCAAAGGGGCCTCAGGCAGCTTCCTGGCCTTTGGAGCTGACTCTCTGATGTCTGCCCCAGGAGCCTTGGCTGTGGCAGTCCTGTCATGTTGGACCCTCTGCTGTCACTGCCAAAGTGACAATTGATGATCAGGACTGGAGCTGTCCAGAAACCCAACTTCTGCAGGGCCCTTTGATCTGCCCAGCCTTGGAGTGGAGCAGGGTCTGGCACAGGCGCCTTTGATGGGGCCTGGCCAATGAGGGGGCTGCAGGCTGGCCCAGCCTGTCCCCACAGCCTTTGATGCCCGCCCCACCCTGGAAGGGTCAGGCTGCAGAAGCAGGCAGGTTGAAGTCAGAGCCAGCCAAGCTACTCCCTATACTCTGGCTTCTGTGGAAAGTCACCGTCTGGGCACTTGGCCTGGTGATGCTCGAACCTCAGGATGCAGAAGCCAATTCTTAGAAACATTGCTTTCAACCACCCATTTATGGATTCAGCTAGTATTTATGGAGCACTTACAGAGTCGGCAGGGCAAAGCCATTACATGTACAGTTCTTCAAGCCAGAAAGCTTCAATTAAACTTGGCTAATTATTAGTTGTCCCGACTTGGGCGAGTTAAGTGAGTTGCATGTTCCCCTCTGTATCTCCATTTTCTCCTTTCTTATGGGGTTGTTGTAAGGACCACAGTGGGTAGTGCACGTAAGGTGCCTGACACCTATTAAGCCCTGACGTGTTGGCTGTTATCACTGCAAGGAGGCTGCATGGTTGAGTGGTGAAGATGCATCAGCTCTGGAGCTGTGTGATCTGGGTTCAAATCCCATGGCCCCATTCCATTCTAGTTAACTTACCTCGTAGGATTATTATGGAGATTAAATTGGTACAAGGGCCCGCCTGCACAGGGCCATGAAAGTCTTTGCTACCTGTGCAATAAATCTTCCATCTTCAATATTTTTGCCCCATCCCCACCCCTGAGAGATCATGTCCAGTCCTGTAGTTTTAACTACACTCCCTGTAGTTTTAACTGCACTCCCTGACTTCCAGGTCCCAAATTCTATCATCCACTCCTCTGTTTAAATTCTTTTGGTGGATTCCATTATCCCGAGAATAGTCTAAACCACTTGACATGGCATTCCAGGCTCCCTCCCACCTGTCCTCTGCTTATCTCCTCAGTATCCTAACTCCTCTTCCCGCCTCCCATGTGCCCACCCTCCAGACATACTGGGCTAATTACAGGCCATGGAAATGTAGGTTCTTCTGCACCTTTATGTGTTTGACGCTGTTGTCCTTTTGCCTAGAATACCATCTTCTGCACTGATGGCCTGTGAAAACCTTCTATTTCTTCAAGACTTAAATCTCAGACCCTTCCTATAAAAAGCTTTTAATCACTCACCACATAGTTCAGTTAGCCATTACTTCTTTCATGCTCCTCTCTAGACCTGGGACACGCATTTGTTCCTAT